GCGGTGGCATGGAGCTCGATCCATAAATATATATAATCCTCACCATCAGGTCCTCGACCTCTCTCTCTGAGTCATTAACCTCACAGCCACTCGGGCAATTCAGTAAAAATCAGGGAACTCAGCCCAAACAGTTTTCATATATTAAGAAGTAGAGTAATGAAACTGGATTAAACAATAAACAAGTAAAACATGACTGAGGATATGCTTTCAAATCAAAACAATGTAAGAAAAGTACTAAAATACCCCTAAGGGTCTAAACAGTTCGGCACAAAGCCCTAAACATGGCATCCAGCCCAAGTTAACATATTTATCTTTAATAAAAAAGAAATATCATATATAAGTATATCAAAATATGCAACTATGCAGTCGAAGAACAACCCTCTGCAACAGAAACCAGCAAAATTTGCAACTCTCAAAACCAAGAATTTATCTGATAACCTCTCGAAACTCACCCGAGCCCTCGGGACCTCAACCAAATATGCGAACACATCCCATAACATCATTCAAACTTAGTTGAGCCTTCGAATCACTCAAAACAATACCAAAACATAAAATTAACCTCGGATTCAAGCCTAAGAACTTAGAAACTTTTAAATTCCACAAACGACGCTGAAACCTATCAAATCAACTCCGAATAACCTGAAATTTTGCACACACGTCACAAATGACACTTCCGAACTACTCCAATTTCTAGGATTCCATTCCGACCTCTATATCAAGTTAGTGCCGACCGGAGAACGCCAAATTTCCAATTTCGCTATCTTGAAGCCTAAATCTACCACGGACCTCCAAATTACCTTCCAAACATGCTCCTAAGTCCCAAATCACCTAACAAAGTTATTCGAACAATAAAAACCAAATTTCGAGATTGTTTACTCACAAGTCAACCGTTCCAACTAAATGGCCAACTTACAAGACTAAGTGTCTCATAACACTCCAAAACTACTCCAAACCCGAACCAACCAACACGATATGATGAAATGTAGCTGAACAACATATAAAAAATAGAAATGAAGAAAATGGAGTGGTAACTCATGAAACGACCGTCCGGGTCGTTACAATATTTTTAGTGGTTAAAAATTCGATACAATATTGGATATATTATTTACTAAGTCATAGCACAGTGTGATAAATCACAATTCTAATAAGATATCTAACTTATATGCTCCGAATATAATATATGAGGAGAAAATTAAGTTCGACTCTTAGTAATCATTTTTATATAGGTTACACTATTCATTCGAGTAAAAATTTTACTGATGGTCATTCAAATTAAACTTTATAATACAAAAGTCACTTTTTTTTCTCTTGTAGCGCAAAAGTCATTTTAGTATAGTCTTATTAATAGAAATATAAATGTGACCGAAAAAATATAAACTTTGGTCGGAAAACTAACGTGTCTATCCTAATCCCTCTAATTAATTTAGTAAAATGGATTAACAACTTCGAATTGAAATAAAAAATGCAAATTTTGGACGGAAAACTGACGTGGATATTGTTGGTATCTCTGAGAGAGGCAGGAATGTGAAGAAAATAATCATGACTAAATATCTCAGTAACGTATTTAAAAATAAGTCTTAAATCTACAGTTTATATACAACCGGTGAGGTCTATAATTCCCAACTGTGATATACTTTTTACTGTTTATGTTATTTATTAAGCAGTATTTTTGGGTTGATGTTGCTTAATGGACGCATTTTGTAAATGAATTTAAGTATGGGTAGCAATTTTTAGTTTGTTAATCTTTTGTACGTTAATTGGTGATTTTGAAAGTGAATTAAAATATGAGCATTATTTTTTGTGTTTATTTTGTAGCTTCAAATATGATCAGCAGTTCGTTATGATCACAGCTTGGCTAAAATCAATGACCAAAGTTTTAGAAGATGACTATGTGTGAAATTTTAATAAATTAATCAGAGGATTAGAATAGCCACCTTAATTTTTCTGCCAAAATTTATATTTTCGAGTCTCTTTTATATTTCTAGTAATTAAGTTATACTAAAATAACTTTTATGTTACAAAGGAAAGAAAATTGACTTTTCTGTTAGAAAGTTTAATTTGAATAACATTGATGAAATTTACCCTCCATTTGGAAAAGTTATCCGTTTTGTTTCACAACACAAACTGTTACAATGTTTAACTTGAATGACCCTAAATCAAATTTACCTTCCATGTGGAGAAGTTACTCGTTTTGTTTCATAACGTAGACCACTTGCTAATATGATGTCCTTTTATCAATAAATTTTGTCTACAATTTTTAGTTGATGTAACAATCCGGCCGGTCGTTTTGAGAATTTACGTCCCGATCCCCTATTAATTGCTATATCCGTATTTATTTATGCTATTATGATTTGCCGGGAAGATTCGTTTTGAGTTTCGGAGTGTTTTGGGATACTTAATCCCTAAATAAGAGCTTAAGCTTTAGAATTTGGACAGTAGTTGGAACAGTGTTAAGATGGCTTCGGAATGAAATTCCGTCGATTCCGTTAGCTCGTTGGGTGATTTCGGGCTTAGGGGCATGTTCGGATTGTATTTTGGAGGTCCGTAGCTTATTTAGGCTTGAAATGCCGAAAGTTGAATTTTTGAAGTTTCCGGATCAATAGTGAGATTTTGGTATCGGGGTCGGAATTCGATTCCGAAAGTTGGAATAGTTCCGTATTGTTGAATGTGACTTGTGTGCAAAATTTGAAGCCAGTCAGACATGGTTTGGTTGGTTTCGACATCGGTTGTAGAATTCTTGAGATTTCAAGTTCATTAGGCTTGGATTGGAGGGTGATTCAGTGGTTTTAACGTTGTTTGATGGGATTTGAGGGTTTGATTGAGTCTGTATGATGTTTTAGGATTGGTTGGTATGTTTGGTTGAGGTCCCGGAGGCCTCGGGTGAGTTTCGGATGCTTAACGGAAGTTGAATTGGACTTAGGCAATTTGTGAAACTTGCTGAACCTGTTGGTTTCGCACCTACGGAGTTTTGACTGCAGGTGCGGCACCACAGAAGCGGGTTGGTGACCGCAGATGAGGTCTAAGGCTAGGAGATCAGAGGTCGCAGATGTGGCTCAAGGACTGTAGAAGCGGAACCGCATTTGGGAGTAAAGGAGTGCAGGTGCGAAAATTTGGTCGTTTAATGAAATTTTGCAGGTGCGGAGTAGGAGCCGCAGGAGCGGGACCGCAGGTGCAGAAGCGGAATTCGCTGGGTAGAAAAAGAGAAATCGAGGGTTTGAAATTCATAACTTCTAAAATCGAATTGGAGCTCGGTGGAGGGCAATTTCTGGAGAGATTTTGAAGGAGAAAGATTGGATAATGAATTCTAACTCTAATTTGGTTCTAATACACTAATCTATTGCTACTTCCCTCATTTAATCTGAGAATTTGAGTGGAAGAATGGGGATTTGGGGGAAAAGTTCCTCAACCATATTTTTGGGTTTTGATTGGAGTTTAGTTGTCGAAATTGAGTAATTTTTGGACAAGTGATCTCGTGAGTGAATGAGTGTTCTAAATTGGTAACTTTTATCCGATTCCGAGACGTGGGCCCGGGGAGGATTTTGGGCGTTTTTCTAATTTCTCGTCGTAGCTTTGAATTCATTAGTTAAATTAGTTTCCTGTAGTTTTATTTACTTTAAGTAATTGGTTTGATTAGATTTGGGTCACTCGGAGTTGGATACTCGTGGCAAGAGTGTGAAATCATATTGATTTTGAGCTGGTTCGAGGTAAGTGGTTTGCCTAACTTTGTGTGGAGGAAACTTACCTTAAGATTTTGGTACGGTTGTTATATGAATACTGTGTACGTGAGGTGACGAGTGGGTATATGTGCTAATTGTTGAAAAAACCCATTTTCATTAAGTAAATATCTATGTTTTCTTTTAACTGAGACACACTACTATATGAAGCCTCATGTTTAGCTTAGGAAAGCATGCTTATGTGACTTAACTGTCTTGCCTGCTTTTACTGCTTACCTGAATTTTGTGTAGCATGTTTAGAGTAGAAATTTCCTATTTTCTTTCCTGATACGAACTTGAATAGAATTGTAGGATTCTTTCTTGAGACTGTTGTGTGTTTATTTTGGGATTACGGATCGGTATTCTGGGAGATCCCCCTGCAATGTTTACTTTGGGACTACGGATTAGCATTTCGGGAGACCCCCCTGCACATTTATAATTGGGACTACGGGACGATATCCCGGGAGATCTCCTTGTACTAGATATTTACGATTTGGACTACGGGACGATATCCTGGGAGATCCTCTATAGTATGTTTAGGACTACGGGACGATATCCTGGGAGATCCCCCAGTTGCTATCTTTGTGTACTGAGCTATATTCTTTCTGTGATTTTATTCTTTAACAACTGTTAGTATTTTAATTATACTGTCACATTTCATACTGTTTTAACTTGTAATTTATATATAACCAGTAGGGCCCTGACCTTCCTCGTCACTACTCGACTAAGGTTAGGCTTGACATTTACTGGGTACCGTTGTGGTGTACTCATGCCCTTTCCTGCACATATTTTTCTTGTGCAGATCCAGATTCTACTTCTCAGCCATACTTCCAGTGAGGCGAGGCGATCCAGAGACTTCGAGGTATATATGTCGCGTCCGCAGACCTAGAAGTCCCTCTCTATTCCTCCTTTAGTTACAGACTTCCTGTATTTTTCTTCCTTTTTAGACTTTCTGGAGATTAGATAGAGTATGTACTTCTGTAGTTTGTGATTTCATGAGATTCCGGATTTTGGGAGTGTTATGTTCAGTTGAGAGAGTTATGATTGTAAATTGGCGAGCGGCATTTTGAACTCCTATACTATATTTTTTTGTAAATAGTTAGTTTCGCATTTTTATTTCATTTTTGAGGTTTTTTTAGGCTTACCTAGTCGTAAAGACTAAGTGCCATTACGACAGTTCACGGAGAGAAAACTTGGGTCGTGACAGTTTCTGTACAAAGTTTTAGGTTTGTGTGACGAAACAACACGTATGCACATGCAAGCATATACACTACACGTATATCAGTATTCACGTAAAAATGCTCATTATTTTCTTTATACGTAGAACAGTATTGCTTTTATACAACTTTTGAGCAGGTTATGCTGTACAACACAACTTTCTTAACCCTATCTTAGAAACTTGCACACAACAAACAATCCAAAAGTCAATCCTTCCAAATTGAGTAGCAATTAACGAGAAAGAAAATGAAAAGAAACAGTACTAAAACCACACATTTGTCCTTGTTTTGTCGTACGTAACAAACCCAAACATCACCAATTAAAGCTGATAGCCTCAAAATGCAGGTTTTCCGCCAAGCCAGAAGCACATATTTTGGCAACTTCATGTCTCATGATCTGTGGCCCACAAACTACAACTCCAACATCTGATGCTTTGCAATCAAAAAGTATTCCTGCACGTCATGCAATTCAAATAATTAGTTCCTTTCATAACAATTATTTCAAGAAGATTGGTGTGTGTGACCGCTCAGAGGCCGAGCTACAGTCGACGACAGGTGGTAAGTCGAACACCTTTTGTCCGAAAAAAGTTATACTGTGGACAAGTTAAATATTACTAGTATTATTTTTTATACACATTAAATTTCAAAAATTGTAGCGAAATTTCCAACTTAGCCACTGTGTATATATAAGTGAACCAACAAGAATTAGTAAACTCACTTTTTATATCAGGTCTAGCACCATAATGCACCTTAGTGGCTTGAACAAGAGACTGGTGAGGAAGACTTTCGAGCTCCCTTGCTGTACCACATAATAAACCTGCAGGTGAACCTGTTGGGGTAGATAATTCCACATTCTGAATTTGTTTCCCTTCAGCTTCATTGTCCTCTTTTTTCCACATAAAAATGATGCTGGTGACAATAAAAACGGAGGCACAAACCAAGAACATATCCCAAATGATTTTTGCACTGTAGTGATAGAGCCTGCCATCGCGCTCAATTGGGTATATGGAGTAACGTGTGACAATGCCTAACAAAAGGAGAAACATGAGAAATGAGGATGAAATTATTGCGCCGAGCCATAGCCAACTGCTTGGGCCAAGGGCTGCAGAAATGGCGGAGTCATTTGGATTATGTTTGAACACTATTGTTTGGATGAGTTGCTTGTGAGGAGCACTTTCAACGTTATGTTCTTGTCCATTTTCTCTAGTAATATAGGCTTCGATTTGCAAATCCAAGTTGGAAATATCAGCAGGAGTGGAGGAGACAGGAAGTAAGAGGTCTAGCATTGTGAGATCAGCTGTGTTCTGGAAAGCTGAAATTAGTATCACCTTTGGTACTTTGGTGTTGGGTTGAGTGCTTCTGTAAATGAGCTCTCGGATTATGGAAATCATGGGAGTAATTCCGCTTCCTCCACTGACCATCACCAGGCACTCCCGACTGCAATGCCANGCTTCCTCCACTGACCATCACCAGACACTCCCAACTGCAATGCCACATTGTTTTTGTTAAATCTTTGTAAAACAAGGCATCATTATTGAATACTGGATTTAACTTATATACAGTGACAACATAAAAATATTTATAGTATCAATATTTTACCTTATTGTAGCAGTAGCGTGTGTTATTTTCCAGTTTAATAATCCTACTTATTATATGAACGATTGCCTATAGTAATTTTTTAAATGACCTAATGAAAAAAATTAGAAGTGTATAGAAGCTAAACTGATCGTGAAGGAGAAACAATTTAACTCTCAAACTCACATCAAGTGGAGCAACAACTACTGCGATTATGTGTAAAATGAGCAGATATTTGAATATAAATCAAGAGAAGTTTGATTATATGAAAACTTTTTTAGTCTATTCAAAAAAGAATGAAATATTTATGTCACCTTGTGGGAAAGTCATTCTCATCAAACATGTACTACAATCTCAACCAATTTACCTTCTAGTTTCTATGTCACCTCCCAACGAAATTTTTCTCCAAATTGAAAGATATTTGACTAGATTCTTCTGGGGATCAAGTGATGAAAAGAGGAGACATCATTGGAGTTCATGGGCAAAAATGTGCTATCCAATTGAAGAAGGTGGACTTGGTTTCAGAAGACTAAAAGATATTAGTGATGCGTTAGCCATGAAAAGATGGTGGAGATTCAGAACTAGTAACTCTATTTGGGCCAACTTTCTCACAACAAAATACTGTAGATTGGCTCATCCCGTGGATAGAAAATGGAGAGCAGGTCTATCTCATGGATGGCAAAGTATTTTGGCAGTCAAGACAAAGCTGAGGAGAAAATAATGTGGAAGGTTAACTCAGGTTCCTCAAGCCTATGGTGGGAGAAATGGACAGGTTTTGGAGCGATTGCTCTTGTCATAAATCACAATGGCACCAACAGACATCAAAATGTCAAAGATCTAATTGATAATGGACACTGGAACATTGATCACCTACACTTAGCTGAATATTTAGCTGAAATAATTCTTAGCATACCAATTGGGAATCCACATTGTCCTGACACACCTATTTGGATGTCTACTACTAATGAAAAATTCTCTATTTCTTCAGCATGGAATATCACCGGACAACACAAGGAACCATACCATTTTCTTTATAATATTTGGCACAAATCTACACCTTTCAAGATGTCTTTCTTCGGGTGAAAAATGCTAAAGAACAAGCTTCCATTTGATAATATCATTAGTAGAATTGGTATTGAGGTGGATACCAAGTGTTGTTATTGTGTTGATTCCAAAGATGAAACTATTCATCACACCTTCCTTGATGGAGACTTGGCCAGATTTATATGGAACTTTTTTGGAATCCCTCTTGGAATTCCATGGGAACCAGGTTCCATCAAAACTCAAATGATAAAATGGTGGGCTGTAAAGCCTAAAAATGGCTTACACAAAGATCTTCTCAAAATTATTCCTATAATTATTTTATGGGAGATATGGAAGGCTAGATGTGCTAACAGATATGGGAAGAAAAAAGTATCTAAAGTCAAAGTTATTCACCAGATCTTCTACCATATAAAGTGGATAGTATCAAAGACCAACTCAACCATTCAATGGAGATGGAAATGGCAGGAACTCACCAAACAAATTATGAGCAGCTCACACAAGATTGAATGAATTATAGTGAAGTGGATCAGACCTCCAACGGGATGGATAAAGCTCAATACAGATGGAAGTCACAATTTAGTAGACTCTATTGGAGCGGGAGGAATTATAAGAGACAGCAACGGAAAAATTATGATGGCCTTTGCTAAATATCTAGGAATTGGCAGCAGTAATCTGGCTGAAGCAAAGGCAATAATCTATGGTTTACAGTGGTGTATCTCGCATAGATTCCAAAACATTATCTTGGAAAGTGACTCTCTGATTATTGTAAACATGATAAAGGGAAAGAGCAACACTGCTTGGCAACTTTAAAATTTTATAGATTCTATTACTCAAATGCTATCTCAGACAACAAATATAGTTCAACATTGTTACAGAGAGGCGAATCAGGTTGCAGATGCGTTAGCAAAATGGAGCATGGAAGAACATGAGAGTCAATTTTATGATGTTAAGGATCTTCCTAGATAGGCTGTTGGTGCATATTTTCTAGATATACAAGATACAGCCTCCATAAGGCACAAACAAAGAAGGAATATGCTTGTCTAATAATTTTTGGGAGTTTTTGAATTGTTAATATGTTTTATTTCTCCTTGTATATGCTAGCTTTGAAAAGCGGCAGGGGTTAGTGCTAACCCTGTTTTGTTGTAACCTCTGTTTTGTTATGAAATAAAAGGTAGCGTCTCCTTAAGGCACAAATTACAAACAAAAAAATTATGTATTCAATTGTATACTTTGCGTTTTACCCGTAATAGCATAATTTTATCGGGAAAAAAATGTTTATGGCATGGTTTATATCACGAGTTTCAAAAACATTTTTTTCTTTTTAAATTCTATGTCCAATCAAATATTTGTTTATAAAGTGGGACGGAGGGAGTAATATTTAGGTAAAAAGAAATGTTCCCCTTTAATTTAAAGATCAAAGTACTAAAACGCGCAGATCATTAGCAAATGTCATGGTTGGTACTTTATACCAGACAAAAGTTTTCGCATGATATCTCAAGTAAACATATAAGTAAAACGTATGAATAAAAGCAAAAAAATATAAAAACACGAATGCATAGTGAAAATAAAGAACAAGTAAAGGTGTTGAGGTAAAATCACCTAACTAATTAACATGTGGATGATTTTGTGTTATATATATATATATATATATATATATATCTCAACAATAGGATTCCACTATTTAATTTTAAGAAGTAGAAAACCTACACTTTCTCTCCAGGGTTGCTCATATAGAGATGGGCAAAGCTGATACAGACGTAGTTGGCTAAAGACCAAATTAGAAGGGCGATAAACATAACAGCAAAAGCAAGCTCAACGGCGTTCACAATTCCTAGAGGAGCCATCGCAAGCACAGGCCGTTTCCACGAGCGAAAATATTGCCCATTATTGCCATTAGTTCTGTAAAAATGCATCAATCAGTCACCAAACTATAACATGCTGAGAATATATTATTATGTTATCCTTCTGTTCCAGCTTCAACGTGATAAATATTAATGGCTGAGAACGAGAACAAGAAATTAAATAATTACAGTAACTAATTACCTCTGATCAGAACTTGACTTGCTGTAATGAAGATAGATGCAGCTCAAAGCAGCTATCAACATTATAGGAAATGTAAATAAAAGAAGATTTGTCCCTGCAGTAAAGAAGTGTCAATTAGGTTTAGGGCAAAGGTTCAAATTTGCTACTCAACTTTAGGAAATGGTTCAGATTTAATTTGGCGTTATACTAACTTGGAAAAACGAGAAAAATTAGACTAAGCTAATTTAATTAATTACTACCTTGTTCTCTGAAATATGTGGAGTTGAGCTTGATTTGGAGCTGGGGAGTCCATGAATTTTTGTAAGTCTTTGTAGGTAACATTATCCAGATGAAGAGCCATCCAACAAAAAGCAATAGCAAAACAATTTTCCACACAAATCTGCTCCCCATATCTTTGCCTAAACTGTGATCGTTTCTTGAATTGAATTACTACTATCTTATAAATTGTTGTTGCATATACATATACATGCGATGAGATTAGCTTATAAAGGGATGTTGTAGCGTTTACTTTTTATGATTGATGTTAACTAGTAATTCCCTTGCGTAGACTTCCCAAGCACTGGTACTATCTCAGTTTTTTTAATCGAGTTTTTTTTTTAAATGCGCTTATAAGATTTATTTGCCTTTCAATAAACAGAAAGAGTCACTTAATTACCTCTTTTGCCGATTAAGGTAAAAAAAGATTTTAAGTTATATATATTGTGTCAATACACCATTAGGTCATCTTTATATGTTGGAGTACGTACCGTCATTTTGAAAAGGTTTATCGGTAGATATCCTTAAAGTGACGTGATAATATAAAAATTTCTTTACACCGACCTACGATGTACAAAAGTTATATTCAAGAAAAATATACTCATTTTGTCTCAATTTATAAGAAGGAACGAATGTGAAAGGAGCTTAAATTTCATGTGAATTAACACGTATAGATTCTTAAAGTTTCTAAATTTCTTTTTTATATATTTAAAAAATACAAAAAATTATTATAAGTCAACTAGTTAACCAGTAGTAGTAATAACTTGGAATGACGGCTAAGTTGACCACAGACATAGCAAATAGGAATGGGTGCATCGATGCAAAAGATAATTTAATTAAAAGATTTCCTTTTATAAAAAGAAATTGGATGAATGAAAAATTCCAAGTTCAGATGGTACTAGCACTGCAAGTACAGTTGACATAGAGTTGCAGTACACAAATCAAGTAGTACATTCAAGGGTTGGCAATCTGATGGATTTCATTTTAAGTACTATACTGGATATATAAACTATATGTATAATTTGTCTTTGTAATTGTTTAAACAGGTATCGTTGGCGAATTTCTTTTTGTAAAAAGAAAAAATAGCAAATGCATAATACATTTAAGAATGCGAATAGAAAGTGTTTGAGTATTGAATTGAGTGAATCGAAAAAACTTGAACGAAAAGAGTAATACTACTCTTTGTTACATATGGTATTTATTCTAAATCTATAACATGCCACCTTACATTCTTTTTCCATATACGCAAAAAATTTTGTTTGTGGGTGTACGTATTCTAACCTTTTTCTCTCGAAACTATGATTATTTTGTGTTTCTCCCGTCTAAAAGTTTAATCATTTGGAAAGGAGACATACTGGTTACATATTTTAGGTTTGCAAAGAAATATACATGATAAATTTTACATAAAGAAAAATAAGGTCAACTAGAAAAGAAATTGAAGCTGGAGAAAGAATAGTATTGATTGACAAAAAAAGGCAACTGATTAGCTGATCACATGTCGACAGTGAATCCCTAAATTTACCTGGATTTTAAGGACAGATATATTGGGTGCAAGTTAAACCGTGCAACTAAGCATGTCAAGGTGAAATAATCAAGGTACGTGGAAGCTAATCCAGATACCAGTATTCAGAGGCGGATCCAGAATTTAATGTTTATGGGTTCTTGCAACGACTTTGAGTAAATTTTCAATAGTAACTAGGTTCACATTTAAATATTTGTAGATATTTAATGATTTTTTAGAACACATTTACACTGTTTGAAGTTGGTTGGTCGGAATAAAAAGCTGCAACAAAACAAATATTTTTCTTCTCTCTTCTCTCTTGATGAAAGCTCTCTCAAAAACCACTCTTATGTGCTTAAGTCTTTCAAAGACTTGTATCAATGAGCATGGAATAATTCTCCAAGGTTGTCCTATTTATAGATCATGAGTGGTGCTTTCTCTTAAAACCAAAACCTACTCAAAATAGGAATAAACCGAATCCAATTCCAAATAGGAATGGAAATAAAAAGAGAATAGGATTATGCCATTGGGCCTTTGGCTGGACAACATGGGCATGTGCCCAACAAACTCCCTCTCCAGCCAAGGGGCCAAATGTGTCTTTAAGTAGAGGAACTATTGACAAGCTTCATGCCTGCCACTTTTCTACAAATTCATGTTTATCTGCAACCACCGCCTTTGTTAGCATATCCGAAGGATTTTTATCAGTGTGTATCTTCTTAACCTCAAATAATTTCTCTTCCACGGCCATTCTTATCCAATGATACTTTCTATTTATATGTTTGGTCTTCAAATGAAAAGTGGAGTGCTTGGTGAGACAGATAGCACTCTGATTATCACAAAATAAGATGTACCTTGGTTGCTCAAAGCCAAGATCATTAATAAACTCCTTCATCCATAATAGTTCTTTGGCACCTTCTATGACAGCAATATATTCGACCTCTGTGGTGGATAGAGCTATGCACTTCTGTAGTCTAGATTGCCAAGAAACAGCTCCCCCTGCAAAAGTGATCAAATAACCTGAAGTGAATCTTGAATTATCAAGATTGCCTCCTAAATCAGAGTCTGTGTAACAAACAAGTTCAGGCTTGCCATTGCCAAAGCACAGCTTCAAATCTGCAGTACCTTTCAAATACCTTAATATCCATTTTATTGCATCTCAATGTTCTTTTCCAGGACTAGAAAGGAATCTACTAACAATACCAACGGCATGTGCAATATCTTGTCTAGTGCAAACCATAGCATACATCAAGCTACCAACGGCAGAAGAGTAAGGAATACCAGACATCTCCTTTTTCTCTTCATCAATAGATGGACTCTGACTAATACTCAATTTGAAGTGTTTAGCAAGAGGAGTACTAACCACTTTTGCATCTGTCATATTGAACCTCTTGAGTACCTTCTCAATGTATTGCTTTTGGGACAAAAATAACTCCTTTCTATCTCTGTGTCAGTGGATTTGAATGCCCAAAATTTTCTTTTTTGGCCCCAAGTCCTTCATCGCAAACGATTTGCTCAACTGCTTCTTAAGGTGCAATTCTGGATTTATTCTTGCCAACAATAAGCATGTCATCCACATAAAGCAAAAAAATAATAAAATCATCATCAGAGAACTTCTGGAAGAATACACAGTGGTCTGAAGAAGTTTTCTTATACCCTTGTTCTTCTATGACAGATTCAAACTTTAAATATCATTGCCTTGGAGCTTGTTTCAATCCATACAGGCTCTTTTTCAATTTACAGACATAATTTTCTTTTCCCTTAGTTATAAAACCCTCAGGTTGCTCCATATAAATCTCCTCATCTATGTCACCATGAAGAAAAGCAGTCTTGACATCTATCTGCTCAACCTCTAAATCTAGACTTGCAGCTAAGCCTAGAACCACACGAATAGAAGACATCTTCACGACAGGGGAGAAAATTTCATCAAAGTCAACCCCCTTCTTCTGGCCAAAACCTTTAACAACTAACCTCGCCTTGTATCTAGGCGCAGAGGTATGATTATCTTTCTTTATTCTGAATATCCATTTGTTAGATAAAGCTTTCTTACCTTTTGGCAATTTCACTAACTCATATGTGCCATTCTCATGGAGTGACTTCATCTCATTTTCCATCGCTTCGATCCACTGATTTTTGTGAGTATCTTGCATGGCTTCATCATAATTCTTAGGTTCTCCCATGTTAGTCAAAAGTACATACTCATCAAGAGGATAGTGCATGGATTTTTGCTTCTCCCTTGTAGATCTTCTAATAGAGGTTTCAGGAGCATTCGAAGTAGTTACCTGTGCAGGAATTGGTTGTTGATCAACCACAACTTCATCAACTGGAGCATCCATAACATCTACACCATGATGATCATTTTGATCTTGATCACTATCTCCATCATTGTCTTGGGTTCCTTCATGTGCAATAGGTGCCTTAGCAATTAAAACTGGATCAATATCAACTAAGCTCTCATTACTCTGAGAATCTATCTTCTCAGCTTTGTCAATATTTTCAATAGTTTGGTCTTCAAAAAATATTACATCACGACTTCTAATAAGTTTATTGTCAACCGGATCATAAAAACGATACCCAAACTCATCTTGACCATAACCGATAAAGATGCACTGCTTAGTTTTGACATCCAGTTTCGATCTCTCATCTTTAGGAACATGCACACAAACTTTACACCCAAAAACTCTCAGGTGATCATAAGAAACATCTTTGGCAAACCAAACTCTGTCTGTGACATCACCATCCAAAGCAACTGCAGGAGACAAATTGATAACATAGGCAACAGTGTTAAGTGTTTTCGCCCAAAATGTATTTGAAAGTTTAGCCTCTGAAAGTAAGCATCTAACTCTCTCAACTAGAGTTCTATTCATCCTCTCTGCCAAACCATTCAATTGAGGTGTCTTGGGGGGAGTTTTCTGATGATGAATTCCTTTTTCCTTGCAATAGTTATCAAAGGGACCACAATATTCACCACCATTGTCAGTGCAAATACATTTTAATTTCTTCCCCCTTTGTCTCTCAGCTAAGGCTTGAAATTCCTTAAACACGCTAATTGCTTGATCTTTAGATTTCAAAGGATACTCCCAGAGCTTACAAGAATGATCATCAATGAAGGTCACAAAGTAAAATGCACCACCTTTTCACTTTACTTTAAAAGGACCACACAAATCAGAGTGTACTAGCTCCAATAAATCGGGCTTTCTTGAGGGAGGATGGCTATGAAAGGAAACCCTTTTCTGTTTTCCAGCTAAACAATGTATGCACATTTTCAGCTTTGCTTGTTTCACTCCATAAAGCAAACTTTTCTTAGCCAAACACGTAATCCCCCTCTCACTCATATGACTCAATCTTCGATGCCACAATTCTGACAAAGTATCACTTTCTACCAGATTTATTGAGTCATTAAGAATAGAGCTCTGTGTCACATATAAATAACCAGACTTGACTCCTCGAGCCACTACTAACGAGCCCTTGGTGAGCTTCCATTGGCCATTAAAGAGGGCATTATGGTAACCTTCATCGTCTAATCTTCCCGCGGAGATCAAATTGAAAGAAAAGTCTGGAGCATGCTTGACATCTTGAAGAACTAACGTTGAACCATTATTAGTTTTCAAATAAACTATGCCAATACCAAAAACCTTAACTTCACTAGCATTGCCCATTTTTAACACTCCAGAATCAACATGAGTATAAGATGAGAAAAAGTCTTTTCTTGGTGTGACATGTGAGGTAGCTCCAGAATCTACTATCCAGCTCGTCTCATGGGAT